TACATTCTAATTGAAAGGGCATGTATTTTAAAAGCTGACCCTCTCAGCTCAGTAATGAAATGACAGGCTGTGAATCTTTCGAATCATGTTTTCTGCTTGATCATTACAGTACTCAGTTTAAGTATTTAATTATTATTTAACAGTATTTGGTGAAATATTTTACATTAGTGACATTTACTAAATGTCTCCCACACATTTATGTGTTCTCTGATGCAAGTGCAAGGAAAAACCCATCTTATTTCCTAGTTGCCTGGAGAAATCTCTTTTGTGCTTACTGTTTGCTACCATGGCTATAAAGTTGTCAGTTTATCTTATAAAGCCTGTCTTAGGGGTTCAGACTTCTGCCATAAAAATCCACTGTAACTTGAGTCTTGGCATATGAAATCTGCTCTCAAGAATGAATTTTATGGTTAATAAATTTGATTAAAATGGATTCAGCCATCCTTGGATTATGTTTATTGGTTATGGATATAATACTTTTGTGCTGATGTAACCAAAAACTCCACTACTTTAAATAAGGACCCTTTCCTATGTTAAATAATGAGGAGGAGGTAAAGTTCATTTGATTTTTTTTTTTTTTTGGTGTTTTTTTAAATGTGGCCCTGGTTGATAATCTCCAGTTACTTTCAGGACTGTGCTGTAGATGTTTAAGGCCCTTGACAGACATTAAATTAAAGGTGCATTGGGAACTGATGCAGGATGCTAACAATTGCACTTCCTGCCATGGCACACATACATGGTAGCAAGCACAGTTGTGGGGATTGGGAATCAGATTCCATTGTGCCAGTGGAGGGGGAGCCCAGAATCATGATCCCAGGATCCCTCTGCACTGACAAGTAGTATGTTCGGCTCCCTGCACTCTGCTGGGAAGGAGCTCTGATCAGCTTATGGGGCTCCCATCTGGAGATGTGCATGGTGTGTTCCCATGGCTGGGAACCCCAATCAGCTGATAGGTTTCCCCACTGGGGGAGAACATGGTGCATTTCTGCATCTGGGAACTCTAGTCTGCTGACTGGTATTCCTCCATTCATCATCATTCTAAGACGGGACTAGACAGGACTGCGCTGGGTTCTTTTTGATGCCTGTCAATTCCATCTTCAATTGGTGCAGATGTTACTGGTTGTGAATTGTATTTCCCCAGGTTATAATGAAGATGGTTGTGTTGCCTTCCCAAATGGCAGAATTTAGTGCCTTATGAACATGTCTTTGGATGGAGCTTTAGTTTTGATTTTGCTTTGGGTCTGCAAACTAACGTGGCAGAAATATAATAGCAAAATAGTAACCCTAGGGGGATTTTTGTTTGTTTGTTTCTTGTGGGTAGAGGTGTCAAATGCATAGTCCCTGGTTCATAAAATTAGCAGTATTTTGAAGTATGAAGTCCTGGATGATGGCTTTTGTCATTAAAGTACAAATCTAAATAACAGCTGGACTGATATCTAAACTGAATTAACACTGTAGATATAGGAGAGTGCCACGGTCTTCAGCCAGGTGGTATAATTTTTCTGATGTACTGGTCTGCAAAAGTGTTGTTTATATGCTTTGAGGACTTGACTCCCCAAGAAACTTGTTCACCTCTATTTTTAAGTTAAACACCTTTCCTTAAAATTAACTGGAATGCCAGCATTTAAATTGAATTCCATTATCTTTATGTGGGATTCTGAAATGGATTGAGCTCTCTTGACTTGTCCTCTTACAGTGAGGTGGGGCCTCCAACAATAAGAAACTATATTTTAAAAAGTACTTTCCCTATCTAGTCTTTTTGTTTTGTGAGATACTTAAACATTTTAAGGGTATAGACAGACAACAGTGATCTCATTTTCAAAGGATACCGTTATACTTGCCCTCCTGATAGCTAACACCAACCCAGACATAGTGGGGGCTCACCAAAACATGGTGGGACCCAACGCATGACTGGGCGGTAAAAATCAAGGGTTATAGGCTGTACCAGAGAGATAGGACAGAGAGGAAAGGGGGGGGTGTGGCACTCTGTCGAGGAGCAATACATATCCTCAATGAGTAGCACTGGGTCAGAGGAGGGGCAGACTGAAGTGCTCTGGGTTAGAATACAAGGAAGTCGGGGAGAAAGGGATTTAAAGGTGGGAGTCTACTACAGACCACCCAACCAAAGAGAAGAGCTAGACCAGGAATTCTTAAGTCGGCTTATGGAGGCAGTTAGGTCAAAGGATGTGGTCATCATGGGCGACCTAAACTTTCCAGACATCTGCTGGGAGGAGCAGTCAGCCAGGTCTGACCGCTCATGTAGGTTCTTAGCTGAGATACAGGACCTCCATCTAACCCAGGAGGTGTATAGCCCCACCAGGGGAGATGCCTTGTTGGATCTGGTCTTGGCCACAGGCAGTGACCTGGTGGGGGGACTGCAGGTGCTCGATCACCTGGGTGACATTGATCATCGCCTGCTGGTATTCACTATCCAGTGCAAGGTGGTGAAGGCCTGCTGCAAGGCAGCAGCCGTGGACTTCAGGAGGGCAGATTTCAATGAGGTAAGGAAAATAGTTGGGGAGACACTGAGGTCCCGGAGGGGAGAGGAGTTGGGTGTCCAAGAGGAGTGGTCATTCCTTAAGAAGATGATCCTCCAAGCCCAAAGGGAGGTAATCCCAACATGGATCAAAGGGGGCAAGAGGGTGCAAAAGCCCCCATGGCTCACTCACCAAAAGCATCCGGAAACGTCTCCAAGCTAAAAAGGAGGCGTACACCCATTGGAAGGGAGGGGCCATCACCAAAGAGGACTATACCTCTGTTGCTCGGGACTGTAGGGGAGCGGTCAGGAAGGCCAAGGCAGAGATGGAACTGGGACTAGCTACCCAGATCAAGGACAACAAGACGTCCTTTTTTAAATACATTGGGGGTAAAAATAAGGTACTGGGTAACGTGGGGCCTCTGCAGGACACGCTAGGAAATCTGGTCATCGCACCAGATAGCACAGCTAACTTATTTAACATTTAAAAATGCCTCCATTTTTCTGAGTAGGGACCTGGTTATCCCCCCAACTGGGACCCCCATAGGCCACGTGGGATGCACACCCAGGCCTAGGGTCAGCGAGGACCTAGTCAGGGAACTTCTGGAGGGACTGGATGTATTTAAATCAGCAGGTCCTGACTATCTCAACCCCAGAGTGCTGAGGGAACTAGCAGAGGTCATTGCGCGACCTCTGGCACAGCTTTACGAGTACTTATGGTACTTTGGCGATGTGCCGGAGGACTGGAAAAGGGCCAATGTGGTTCCCATTTTAAAAAAAGGGAGGAAGGAGGACCCAGGAAACTATAGGCCCATTAGTCTTACCTCAGTCCTGGGGAAGCTTTTTGAGAAAATTATCCTGGCGCATGTCCACGAGGGACCAGGAGGGGAGACTATGCTTAGGGACAACCAACATGGTCAGGAAGGTTCATTAGAGGCAGGTCCTGTCAGACCAACCTGGTGGCCTTCTACGACCAGGTCACCAAATCCCTAGATGCAGGTGTTGCAGTGGATATAGTCTTTCTGGACTTTAGGAAGGCCTTCGACATGGTCTCTCACCCCATTCTCATTAAAAAACTAGAAGACTGTGGTGTCGATGCCTACACAGTCAGATGGGTCACACGCACCCAGAGGTGGTGGACGGATCTTATTTGACCTGGAGGGATGTGGGCAGTGGGGTCCTGCAGGGCTCGGTCCTTGGGCCTGCACTGTTCAACATCTTTGTCAGCGACTTGGACAAAGGGGTAAAATGCACCCTGTTCAAATTTGCAGATGACACTAAGATGTTGAGTGAAGTGAGCATGCTAGAAGGAAGGAATAGGCTGCAATCAGATCTGGACAGGCTACAGGGGTGGGCGGATGAAAACAGGATGGGTTTCAACACTGACAAGTGCAGAGTACTACACCTGGGGAGGAAGAACCAGCAGCAGACCTGCACTCTGGGGAACTCCCTTTTCATCAGTGCAGAGGCAGAGAAGGATCTTGGAGTCATTATTGAGGCCAAAATGAACATGGGCCGACAGTGTGAGGACATGGTCAGGAAGGCCAACCATTCCCTATCGTGCATCCACAAATGCATCTCGAGCAGGTCCAAGGAAGTGATCCTCCCCCTCTATGCGACACTGGTCAGGCCGCAGTTGGAGTACTGCATCCAGTTCTGGGCGCTGCACTTCAGGAGGGATGTGGGCAACTTGGAGAGGGTTCAGAGGAGGGTCACCCGCATGATTGGGGGCAGCAGGGCAGGCCCTACGAGGAGAGGCTGAGGGACCTGGACCTGTTCAGCCTCCACAAGAGAAGGCTGAGGGGGGGGGATCTAGTGGCCATTTATAAACTAGTCAGGGGGACCAGCAGGCATTGGGAGAGTCCCTGTTCCCCCGAGCACTGCCAGGAGGGACAAGAAATAACGGTCACAAGCTGGCAGAGGGTAGATTCAGGCTAGATATCAGGAGGCGCCACTTCACAGTCAGGGCGGCTAGGATCTGGAACCAACTTCCAAGAGAGGTGGTGCTGGCTCCTACCCTGGGGGTCTTTAAAAGGA